GAAGTCGTTTATCTTGTTAGCTGTGTCAGTGGGATGTAGTGGTGTTTCATTAGGTTTAGTTAGGACAATATTCTTGGTTTTTTCTCAGTTTGTGGGTCCCTAGAATCTGAGAGAGTGTTTTCCAGGTTTTTTTTATATCTCCTCTAGGTCTGTGAATCTACTGGAGTAGTATAGTTGTTTGGCTTTCTTTATTACTTTGGTGAGAGCTGATGAATAGTGTTTAAGAATATCTTTGTGTATTAAGCCTTGTCTATATTGCTTTTCATATTGGTGTTTCTTGTCAATGGATTTCAGAATGGTGCTGGTTAGCCATGGGCAACCAAGCCGTTTGTTTGTGATCTGTTTTTTTTTTTATAGGACAATGTTTGTTGTATAGTCTAAGTAATTTGTTAAGAAAAATGTCTGTCTAGTCATCAATACCATTGGCCTTGGAGAATTCTGTAGGCCAGTCAACAGTCTCTAGGTCAGCTGTGAACTTCCTTACTGAGGCCTCGTCATGGAGTCTAAATGAGACTTTGTTGTATTCAAGTGGTGGTTTACTAATGTTTGTCAGGAGGAAGGTAGGGTAGTGGTCTGTAGTGCTATCTGTGATTATCCCTGATTTAAGGGGGGCTAGTATATTGGTCCATATGTGGTCTATTATGGTTGCACTTGTCTCAGTGAGCCTGGTTGGTTTAGTTATTGTTGGTTACACTCCCTGGGGTTGTGGCAATGCTAAACTCATGGGGGTCATACAGCAAATGGAATGGGAGACAACCAGGCTCAGTCTAATGGAGGATGGATCCAATTCTTGGAACAAGAAACCCTAAGAGGCACCAATTCGGAGTTCACAATTCCTTTATTTTGCTTAAAGTAAGATTCACACTGCTATGGAGCAGTCCATATTTACCCATGTTTATATTACTGAATAAACAAAGTTGGACAGGGAAGGAGGGCCCTGCCCAAGATTGGCAGGTCCAACGCTTTTCCCCTGAGCTACAATTATAATAATGATGGGGAAGCGCGAAACCCATAGGATCATACATTATTATAATCAAGGGGAGCACTAAACCCGGAGGATTATACAGCGCCTGTGGGAACTGGAGCACAGATCCAATTCCCTAGATTAAGAACCCCTTACCAGCATCAAGGAACCTCCCTTGAAGGGCCCGCTGAGCTACGAGCATCAAAATAAGTTCCAGACAGTACTGCTGTATAATTATAAAAAAAAAGCGCTAAACCTACAAGGGTCATACAGCGCCGCCGGGCAGGGAAGGATGCTGGAGTAATGGGTAGCAAGAAGGGAAGGGATGATGTTGGGGTAATGGGTAGCAAGAGGGGAAGGGATGATGCTGGGTTAATGGGTAGCAAGAGGGAGGGATGATGATGAGGTCATGGAGTGCAGCGGGACAGTGGATATTATCAAGGGGGAAGCACTAAATCCGTAGGATTATACAGCGCCTGTGAGGAGGATGGGAAAGGTATTCAGGCTTAATTCAGGGAACTGGGGCACAGATCCAATTGCCTAGATCAAGAGTCCCTCACCAGCATCAATTATAATAAAGGGGAGCGCTAAACCTGTAGGATTATACAGCGCCGGGGGAAGATGTGGAAGGTATTCAGGTTTAATTCAGGGAACTGGAGAACAGATCCAATTCCCTAGATCAAGAGCCCCTCACCAGCATCAAAGAACCTTGAGGGGTATCAGCGTCAAGGAACCTCCATTCAAAGGGGGGGGGGTAGGGTCAGTGGATAGTGCAGGGGTACAGGGTAGCAAGAGATCGAGTGCACTGCTCTCAAGTCTGCATCAGACTGTTAATCAAAACTAAGTGCTACACCCAAGGGTCATACAGCCATGCAGTGCCGAATGTGTTAAGATGAAATAAAAGATCAAAGCCCACAGAAGATTAGGAATATACAAGAGGCAGTCAGTAATGGTAGGAGTCCCACAAGGAAGCGTCCTTGGACCACTCCTTTTTCTCATCTACATCAATGATCTACCGAATGCATAGCAGCTACTCAAACCCATATTATTTGCAGATGACACTACATATGTATTTTCCCACCCAAACGCAGTCATACTAGCAAACACAGTCAATGCTGAATTACAGAAAATATCTGCCTGGATGACTAACAAACTTACCTTGAACACTGATAAAACCTATTTTATTCAGTTTGGAAACAAAGCTGCAAATGATCCAATTAACATTACGCTAAATGGATCATCAGTCACAAGACTCAGAGGAAAAATTCCTAGGTATCCGCCTTGACACTAGCCTTAAGTTCCGGACAACATACAACAAATCACCAAGAAAATCTCCAAGACTGTAGGCATACTATCAAAGATAAGGTACTACGTTCCACAATCAGCTCTCCTCGCACTGTACCATTAACTCGTATACCCTTATCTTACATATGGAATTTGTGCATGGGGATCAACAACATCCAATCACCTAAAACCCCTAATAACCCAGCAAAAGGCAGCAGTAAGAATGATAAATTCCCACTCCCGCCAGCATACTCCACCAATTTTCAAAAGTCTGAATCTGCTCACCATTAAGAACATCCATACTTATTCATGTACCTACTACATACACTGAACAATACACGCAAATATAAAACCCCCACTCAAACTTTTCCTCGCCAACCTAAACAGGGCACATGACCAAAAGACAAGACATCTCTGATGTACCTCGTGTCCATATCACACTAAAAACTCGATGCACATAAAGGGCCCCAAAATATGGAGTTCATTACCAGAATTATAATAATCAAGGGGGAAGCGCTAAACCCGGAGGATTATACAGCGTCTGGGGGGGGGGGATGTGGAAGGCATTCAGGCTTAATTCGGGGAACTGGAGCACAGATCCAATTCCCTAAATCAAGAGCCCCTCACCAACATCAAGGAACCTTCCTTGGAGGGGTTCATTACCAAAGATATTAAAGTAACCCAGTCTGAAAATCAATTTAAGACTTCTCAATTATTATTATTATAATCAAAAAAGAAGCGCTAAGCCACAAGGACTATACAGCGCTGAAGACTTCTCAAAAGCCACTTATCAAAAGCCACTTAAATCACCCTAGATTAAATGCTAAATACTCAGTATACATTTACTCACCTATGTACTCCCACATCATAACTGAAAATCACATTTGAACCTTTTATCCATTGTTGACAGGAATATAACTGAATCGTTTTTCACAAAAGCATTTTTGAATATATTATTATAATCAAGGGGGAAGCGCTAAACCCGTAGGATTATACAGCGCCCAGGGGAGGGGGATGTGGAAGGCATTCAGGCTTAATTCGGGGAACTGGAGCACAGATCCAATTCCCTGAATCAAGAGCCCCTCACCAACATCAAGGACCCTTCCATAAGGGGATTTTTTAATATAAATACGTATATCTTTGTATTATACAAATTTATTCATTTATAATGTTCTACTGTACATTATTATAATCAAGGGGGAAGCGCTAAACCCGGAGGATTATGCAGCGCCTGGGGGGGGGATGTGGAAGGCATTCAGGCTTAATTCGGGGGACTGGAGCACAGATCCAATTCCCTAAATCAAGAGCCCCTCACCAACATCAAGGAACCTTCCTTGAGGGGTTCTACTGTACTACGAAATAATTACTTTCCTACTGTACAACTATGACATACTATTTCTTAGCATTATTTAGGATGTAAGCCAATAATGTTAAGTTGGCCCATTATGCCAAGGCATAATAGAGGCGCTCTGCATTGCAACCCACTATTGTATATACACAATCTCAGTGTACTGTTTGCAAAGACATTAAATAAAATAAATAGTTTGAGTCGTATATACCTGCATCTGAGACCAGTGACAATTTTCCCACAGCAAACTATCCTTACCTCCCTCAAAATCATTAACTCGAGTCAAGTCGTAATGAAAAAAAAAAAAATCTACGAGAACAAACATTGAGGGGGTGAGGACTTGAACCTAAATCTTGGACCAATGCTGTACCGGAGCTACGTCACAGGGAAGCGTTAAACCCGTAGGACTATACACCGCATGTCGGGGGATGGAAGGTATTCAGGCTCAATTCCGGGAACCGGAGCACAGATCCATTTTCCTAGATCAAGAGCCCCTCACCGGCGTCAAGAAGGTTGTACTGAGGGGAAGGCACCGAACCCGTTAGGGCCGTCCTGCACCGAGGGTAAGAACATTAAGATGTAAACCGTAAAGGGTTAAGGGAATGGGGGAAAATGTAGATCAAAAATTCCTCAGTCAAATTGCATTCTCAGGAAGCAATGGCACCACCCTAAAATGCAAGGCTACATCCACTGCCCATGGTTACCCACTTCCAAAGTAAATGAGGCTAATAGAATGGCAATTGTAATCAACTTAAGGTAAACCTATATTATAATCACACTAAACCCTTAAGGTCATATAGTGCTGCAGGGTAAGGTCCTAGGCATTGATGTGATTGATCAGATCAGCTAGGATTGAGCTGAATCTTCGAGTAAATGGCACAGCAGATAATTTGTCAAGCACCAGTGGAACATTCAGCAATCAAGAATGGGAATTTTGTTAACTATTCTTTAAGTTAAATTAATTTTCCATTTTACAAAGTATGCCATATACAGAAAGCTAGAAAAAGGTAGTTATTTTTACTCTTATTGACCCACGGATGTACGTAAAGTTCCCCCATGGTGCACATTCTGCTCGCCATTCCCGTAAAATTCCAGGCAAAAATGAATATATTAAAAGGCAGAATTCATAGTAAAGGCAGTGAATTTGAAATCTTATTTAAAAAATATTTATTTTAGCCATTTATAACATTTGTAAAAATCTTTCCTGGCAAATATCAATAATCTGGCTTAAGCCGAAGTCCATACCCAGTATCCTGGTATAGTCAAGTTTCATACTATCTATAAATAGAAAATTTCAAAAATCTGAATGTTCTCTACAAAATACTATTTTATAAATGTAACATTTCTGGTCTAACATATTACAATTTATCATGGAAGACTAGGTTCAGTAAAACTATGAAGACATACACAAAAAAATCGCATTTATTCATACATGTAGGACTGTACAGCCATGAGAAATAAAATTCTTAAAATTACGTAAAAAAATTATTTGTATGAACTGTCCAGAGTACAGTGAAATTGCCTGTACACAGGAATGCTTCACATGAACTATAAATGTTTTTGTTGTGACATTCACATTTTGTCATTTTCCATTTTTATAAATATTTTAAATATAGATGGGGCAACTTGACATGGACGCAGGCGTTGCTGTGTTGCAGCACTTCAGGCTTCGCAGCATCATGAGAGCAGGCAACACTTAGTACTCGGTGCCGTTCCACGTGTTGTCGTATTCACCACGCCGACCACTCTCAATATGGTTGGTGCCGCGTCTGCTGCCGCCCACGCTGGCTCTTCCCGTCGTACCCTTGGCCGCCTGGTAAGGGCCAACACCGCCATAAATAATCAGTCTCGTTGAACACTAAAAGTACAGGCTGCCCCATAAAGTTGAACCTATGTATATTTCCATTTATATTTGAGGTTAGGGGCTACATGCAGGTCTAAAAAAACAGGTGGACATTAATTTAATAATGGCATGCAAATAATGCAGACCTAAACACCATATTAACAAGCATGAGCCTGATACTTACCATAACTACCATATCCCCCGCTGCCATAGCCATAGTAATCATTACCATAGCCACCATAACCACCATATCCCCCATATCCACCATAGCCGTAGTCATAGCCACCTGCAATGAAGATTAGATTTAAGGACCTAGAATGTAAGTCGCTTACTCTTCAAGACCACATTACCTAAATACATCAGAGTCAAATGTCTATGATCATACTGCCGGGATACAGGACAAGCATAAGAAACCAAGTTTTCAACAAGTTACACATGATCTTGTTAAAAACTTGAGTCCCACAGCTCTACTGCTTAAACAAATTTACTTGTACACATACCATAACTCCCATATCCTCCATAGCCCCCCTGTCCATAGCCGCCATATCCCTGGTTCCAATTTGCGCCCCATCCTCTTCCTCTACCACGCATAGTAGTGCCACGAGTGCCTCTGATGGCTGTACCACCACGTATACCCCCTCGCATCATTCCCATGGCATCAGGCTTGGGTGTAGCTTTCTTAACGTCAACTTCGTGACCATTTATGCTCTGTTTTGGAGTCTTTAACAATTCGGTGACAACTTGCTCTTGCTCGAAAGTGATAAAACAAAAGCCTTTCCTCTGGTTCTTTTGTTTATCAAATGGTAATTCAACATCAATTATAGTACCGAACTTTTCAAAATAACTTTTGATATCATCATCAGAAAGATCTGCTTTTAAGCCACCAACAAAGATTTTGCCATGGCGAGCTTTAGCTTTCTTTGGATCCACCTTCTTTCCATTGATAACATGATCGCCAGCATTTATAACCTGTAAAGTAAAATTACATTTTTAAACAGTTACAGTTCAAGTTCTTCCTTGAATTCTCCCACGTACCCAATATCCAGAATTTCTCCCCTCCCCCACAATGGAAAATTTCTTGAAGTGCAAGGTATACAGCACGTCAATACTGCTGCATTAATTAGCTAGTTAATGGTTTGACATCAAAACAAACCCAGTTTTAGATTTACTGAATTTTAACAAGTACTTCAAGGCATTTAACATTGTTTGGCACTAAAATGGCAATAAATATTTTCAGCAAAAAGAAATCTCAACCTTTCATTACACTGATAGTACATCCCAATACTTTTGAAACACTAATACCACTGCCATAAATTCCTTTAAATTCCAAATTAAAGCACCAAAATTTTATTAAACTACAGGAAAAAGTTTACCATTCTTCATACTGTGGAAAGCATTGCTTTGGAAAACGAGCTTTCAAATTAACATTAATAAATGCAAAAAGCAACTGAAATGGCACTTAAATTTAGCCTGACAGTCAGGATCTCTCATTACACAAATGTAGGAAATCTTTCCAGAAAAAATTACCTAATGACAGTTCAGCTTGAAACTTATAAAGCCCTTATCTTTCAACTACTGGTAATGCATTTATTCAAAGTATAGTACTAGGAACAATTTAAATTCAATTAGCATGAAATTTTGTACAGTAAAAAAAATCCAATAAATATTTCACTATTCTGCTGTAGTTTGCCTCAAACCCTATCCCAATAAAGAAATCTCTTGCTTTGCTTTAACATACCTTATCAATGGCATCTGGGCTACCAAAGACAATAAATGCAAATCCTCTTGATCTACCAGTGTTTGGGTCCGTCTTTACATTTATGCTCTCAATATTGCCGTATTTACTGAAGTGCTCCCTTAGCTCTTCTGTAAAGTAATATCCAACATTAGCATTTCATTTAAATGGTTATACAGAAATGTTAAAGTAAAAGCCTCAGCAGTGGTCAAAGTCTTCCTAAGAATCAGTAGCAGAACTGTATGATGATCATCATTATAGTGTTTCCTCTACACAAAATACAAAAGAATTGTTAGGCTTCATTCCCCCCTAGGATGGAGTTCAAAGTATTAAGGAAACGGCAAAACTGGCAAATGTGATGTGCCTCAGTTTGCAATACTTGATAAAATTTAAACCAACATAGGAATTACAATTATCAAGGCTTAAACATCTGGAATAGAAGTGCTTAAGATCAGCAGTAATTAACCATATTTTTTAGTTTTACCAAACTGGTTAAGCTGTTTCCTTAATCCTATTATACCCACTTGCAATTTCATTCATGCATGGTAGTATACTAAATCAGTAAATGTAACCAATGCCTCTCAAGTTTAAGGTGATCCAAATGAAACTTTCTCTGGAAAGACATTTATTCCAAATCCTACTAGACAAGTATGTCAGACATTTAGGGAAACTAGATTTGTAAGTTTCTTCAATGCCAAAATGTGCAACAATCACTATTAACCATAGTTAAATTAGAGAAATTTGTCATACCATGAATTTGCCAGTCCATCTATTTCTTCCCTCTATTCACTAAGCATTCTAATTAGACAAACGACCATAATTAAAGTTTATAAAATCAACAAGGAATTGTACATAGCATAATGGTGGATATATAAAACTTTATACTCCTTTTACCTATATACCAGCATCAAGAAGAAAATGCCTCAAGATTGGCAAGGTGCTTTTTATCCTCTTTCAATTAATAAACTTTTTGCTTGTGGTATTTTACTTTGGACTTATGGCTTGCCAATTTGTTTGGTAAAGTTAATGGTAAATCTAAATGAAATTTGTCAAGTTATAGTTCAGAAGAAAATTCAAGTAAATATCTGGCTGAAACTTTTGGAATGAGGGTAAAAAATGGGTAGTTTTGAGATTTGAAAAGAATTTGACCAGGATTATAACTGCTACAAGGAAAAAAAAAATTAACTAAAATCACAAACTACCAGCATCAGTTTACAAAATTATTCCCAGACACTCGAAAGTTACTAGGCACCCGAGTATTTATAAAAACTTGGGCCCAAGGAGACAATGTTGCCAGAAACCCACATCAAAACTCAAAGCAGCCAACCAAATAGCTAGCATTAGTAAACAGTACTTCAAGGATATTATGTGACCCATTAAGTCAGCAAGGTGAAAGTTAAAGAGATGGCTATAGCAGCCTTTGTCATCTATCAATTCATTTCCAAGCAAAACTATAGTTTTCATCAATTTAAGTACAAAACACAGTAGGGTCAGGCTTCTGGGAAGGATGTGTGCAAGTAGGAATATGTAAGTCGAGTAAGCAAGGGGTAGGATGCAATGTCAGGGGTTAGTGCACGAGTAAAACAAAGTTCATGCAAGATTACTCAAAGTCTGGTCTGCATCAAAGGTGGAACTTTCAGCAAGGCCTGCATTGAGGTAGTTCATACAATGGAAGTGGAGCCTGCATGCACTTATGAAAATCCAAAATGTTGAGTAAACAGTGCAATGTAAGATTAATGGGCCAGTACAGAACATTAGGAATCAGGGTACAGAAAACCAAGATCCAACTAAACCAGCTATTGGAAGATAAGCAAGGATGGTAGAGCACTCTTCAAAACAGGTGCTATAACAATTTCATGACAAATACTAGGCAGAAGCAAAAATGTTTAGCAAGCACAGTGGAGCTGAGAAGAGATTTGAAGGTAGTAAAACCAACCATTCAATAGAAAATACTAAAATTATTTAAATTACAAAAAATGGTTGTCCTTTCTTACAACAAACTGGCCGTATCCCACCGAGGCAGGGTGACCCAAAAAGAACAAAAGTTTTCAAATTTAGTAATTTACACAGAAGGGGTTACTAGCCCCTTGCTCCTGGCATTTTAGTCACCTCTTACAACACGCATGGCTTACGGAGGAAGAATTCTGTTCCACTTCCCCATGGAGATAAGAGGAAAAACAAGAACTAAAGAAAATTGCAGAAAACCCAGAGGGGTGTGTGTATATATATGCTTGTACATGTATGCATAGTGTGACTTAAGTGTAAGTAGCAAGATGTACCTGAAACCTTGCATGTTTGAGAGAAAAATGGACATCAGCAATTATACCATGTACAGGGTTTAAAAAAAAAAAAAAAGGGGGGGGGGGGACAAAGTAGGTCTGTAGCAAAAAAAATTGGCCACTGTAAGGGAGATGTAGGTAGTTTTAAAAGGCTGTATAGATTAGTGGACCTGCCTAGCATGGGCAAGTAGGCCTATTGCAGTATTCCCTGGTATTGGGGGAAAAAAAATCAACAGGCAGTAATTATAACCACACCACCAGTAACGATGGATGGGATGGGGAAGCTAACCAATAGCTATGGACATGATGTGCATACCAGATACTTTGGCAGTAGTGTCTAGTGACAACTGTCTAGTGGCAATTCAAGGAGAAGATTAGGACTTGTTGCAATGACACATTTAAAAGGTTATAAAAGTTAATACCACCAAAGGTCAATGGATAAATTTCCAAACATTAATTTTCCTAACTTTCTATACATGTAATGTACTTTAACAGTACAACACAAGACTACATTTTTACCTAAAAATACATCTCCATAACCTATGCACATTTTGGCATGAAAACTCAACCTAAAACTGATTAGGCATCAACTCCTCATGGAGACCATTTTTTTTTTTTTAAGTGATTTTCATTTACAAAACTTGGTTCAAAGGCAACATATTAAGAGTGGGTGTTAGGAGTTTGATTTGTCTAGCCAATAAGGCCTATGACATCGTTCATTTATTCATATTACAGAATGGAGTTGGTAAACAAAAATCCTGTGCATCTTGCTTAGAGTTAAAAGAAAAATTAGGATATACACTTAGAGAAATGGTTAAGAACTTTAGGCGCTACATCAAAGTATGGAGAGTCAGGCCGATGGGGAGGGGGTTGTGTCATGGAGCATATAGGTATCATCAGGTCAAAGATTATTTCGAACCATACAATTTGGGCGAGTAGTTTCTCTAATATGTAATTCCTGATCTTGTGCTGGCATTCAATGTTAGGTTGAGTGCTGATGTATTTCTCGGGGCAAATTTGGACAGTTTGGTTTCCACTGTCCCTGTTTAATATTAAAATTGGGAATGGTAGCTTAGAGCAGATTCTCCAATTTTGTGTTTGTTGCAGTGGGATTGACAATTTATAGCAGCAACTTCCAAATGAAGATGGTTGTTGCTAACACTGAAAGATGGCCAAATTATTCTGTCCATAGCTTAAAACCCTCATGTCTGTAATCCTCAATGAAAGCATTCAGCCTGTGTGCAAAGTATACTTTGCAACAATCTGCATGGTATCTGGTAGGCTCCCGTGTCATAACTGGATGCTTACGTTTTTTTTTTTAAATATTTCCCAGTTTATCAGGTTCCTACGCAGGTCCCTCTGTTAAGGCAAATGACTGTCCCTTGAGGGTTGAGTACATTGAGTTTCAATTTGTTGGATGGTTTTGCTAAGCTCAGATATTGTAGAATCTCCATCCAGCAAATCAACTCCTTGTACCCTACCACCAAAGAACAGTGTCTCAACATGACCAACATCCCTTTCTATCCTAACAAACTGGGAAATCTTCTCCAAGAAAATCATCCAGTTGCAAAACACTAGGTTGCTGACAAGTACATGGATTAACAAACATGAGGCCAATATGTCAGACAAGAAAATTTAGACAACATATTAGCAACATTCATTGGAAACTGCCACCATCAATCACAAATCAAACTGCAGCTGTACAAACAAAAATCTCATTAGCTACCATGCCTAATTTTAACAGGGACAATGGAAACCACACACTTCAAGATTCACCCTTAGGTGCATACCAGCACCTAGCCTAACAATGCCAGCACAAGATCAGTACTACTACTTGGCCAATTTTTAAGTTTTATTTCATCACCTGCATGACTTTACACCCACATTTTCCCAACCCAACTTCCCACTCACAGATCTGATGCTCCATACCTACCTGCACTGCTCAGGGGTGCAACCTTCCTATATATGCTAATTTTTATATCTGAAAACCCAAGTAAGGGGGTTGAAATGTACAAATTCATCTTCAGTCTCCATGTGGGTTATTGCCGAGCCATGACATGTGCTCACCACCTTAATTGATTACAAGTTTGAAACTGAACATTGTTCAATTACTGACAAGTAGACAAGTAAACTTTTCAGCCTTTCACTATCTACAGCTAAACAAATTAGGCATCTTAGAAATCTTACATTCCACATCTTTCACAAGTTGAAGCTTAATTCTTACACGAATTTATGAAATGTGCACTTACTATACAATACTATCACACAAACTTTATAATTTATAAATTAAATGGTTGTACGTAAATGGAATACAATACAGACAAGATGAGGAATTAGACATGTGCAACATCTAGGCATCTTTAATTCTGTAAACGTTCTATCAATCAGTGGCTATCAATACAATATTTCTTCACATTGTCCTTGTTTTGTATTGATAAAACCACTGGTTGGCAGAAACATTACAAAATTAAAGCTACCCAGATGCTGCACATGTGTAATTCAAATTAAATGGCACCACTTACACTTCAAATTTTAAAAGCAAAGCACTTACTTTCTGTAGTTTCCCAACTCAGGCCTCCAACAAACAGTTTCCTGTAACAGAACAGCGAGTCAAAATCTGTACATTACAATTTGGAAGTTATATTCCCTTAATCCTAAGATGTACTGTACCTTTAGGCTGACTTTCTGCTTCAAATTAAGATGGCAGGGAGAAATACTGCACAAATCTTTTTAACCCACACTTCGGCACGTCAAGCTAGTTGGCAAAATCAACTGCTTAATTTTCTGCTTTTACATTATTCTGAAAAGTCTGGGCAAAACATGGAAATAGATATAAAGGGGAAAAAGATCGAAAAAAAGATGAAATGAGTCAAGTTCTAGTGCATGGTAAGAAATCTAGAACCAGTGAGATGAACCTTTGAACCACTAAGACAAGACAAGATAAATACCCTGGTGTGGATGCGGCGGGCTACAAGGGGGCAACATTTCTTCCCGAAGTAGCTGCCACCTGGGAGGAAGCAAAACAAGGCGCCGTTAGTGGTGATCCAAGCAACTATGGCTCTGCCTTCCAGTTACTGTACCTTAGTCTTACTAGTACCATCACAAGCAAGCTGGGACTTGACGAAACTTGATGCTTGTAGAGCGTCAATTACGTTATCTGGGACACTTCCGCAAAAAAGTGACTGAACAACCATTACAAAACAGCAGTTAAGAGGCATCCCACCCACCGCTAAGACTGTACGCGCCACTGACGCCCAATTATTGTATCCGACTTACGAACCAACAGCAATGACGAGCAACAGACTGAACATGACCACATGAAGGATATGAATCAATATAAGTGACCTAGAAAACCAAAAAGACAAGCTTAATAGTAATATGATGATGCCGAAAGCCTGCAAACACCCTGGACTTATAAATTAAGAACTTATCAAAAGGAACAAATGCCGTGTGAACGCTCCAGGGTGTCTCAAACTGAACATTTTGAATATTGAGGAAGCCAACGCATGGTGGAGCGTCAAGCACAAGGAAAATGGTGGCTGGCGGCGCCATTTTGGTGATCCCGGCAGTCGTGAGCGGTACAGTCTACACTAAGTTATCTACACCTCTACGATTCTTGTGCCCCATGAAACGCGCGCATCATGGCTCCAACACCCTCGTCTCTCAGATTAGCAAGATTATATACAAGTATGCGCCATGATGAGTCAGATAAACACTGATCAACATTCCGGGGGGATGCCTCTTGTTGCTTCACTAAATTTAATAGCAAAGACTTAATACTGATGCACATGTACTTTACATTTTATTATTATTCTTTATATAATTCTGCGTTATATAATGTGGTAGAGGTAGTAGTTATTATACACCTGGTCTTACCTGTCATCGTCCCTGCCGGGTGCGTCCGCTGCGCCGCTGTCGTCTTTATTAGTACCGCCTCCCGTGCATTCCTGAGTCGCCATACCATCACCATTCTCCATGCCGTTGCCTTGAAAATCTCCTCCGGAATAATCTTCCGAGAAATCTTGTCCTTCCATCTCCTGGTCAGCCATTTATAACTATTATTTTCCTTAACAGTAACTGTACGCGTCCGACACGTATGAAGTCCAGCGGCTGAGAGCGGCGCTGTTAGCCCCGTGGAGGCAGCCCGTAATGCGAAGACTCGTTCCTCAACACTACCAACTAGTCAACCAATCACCGCCCGTCTTGGCTAACTCGCGAGCCTAAGTTTACTGCGCATGCTCCTAGGGGTGACGCTTGTTTTGGCGTTTCTTTGCAAGAATTTATTGATCTTAAAAGCGTTATATGGGTCATTTCAATGCATATAAAATATTATTCAACAAAAAATTATATTTATAGCTGTTATGGTAATTAAGATCGGTGAATAGACATCCTCCAATGTTTACAAAATGCTACTCTATATCTGGCAAGGATTTACGTACAATGTTGATGTTTGTTGTATACATTTTTTTCATAAATATAAACAATTTCGTAAATATATATAGTGTTTATTGCCGCACATTAATGAATGCGTATTCCTATATAAATCTAGAACATGTAACATAGAAACTTAAAGTGCAGTAGCTTGACCCCAGTAAAGGGTCTGTTGACCCGGGGAAATGACGCTATATTCACCCCCCTTTCCCTTTGGGGATTTCCTTATTATTTCCATTTCCTAGTCATATAGGACCCCAACTGTTTTAATCCTTCCCATTATATGAAACAAAAATTTAATGTACTTTAGGAAAAAAAAAACATAATAAATGTAAAAGATGGATAAGATTAAAATAATACAGAAGTACAGGAAATTTGTGAGCGGGATTTAATTTAAGTAATTTTATTCAGGTATAATAAATACACTTACACAGATTATCTACACAGCAAAAACATGTGGGGAAAATTAGGATAACCAAAAAAAGTAAAAAGTGATTTAAAATTTCACTGGTGCCCTTTAAAAAAATAAAGAAACAGGAAAAAGGGACCCTGGAAATGTCATGATTTTTTTGAGTTATTCAGGAAATATACATATGTAGAAATTATACTTATGCGTCTTCCCTAAATAAACTTAGCACATCTTGCTATATAAGACGATTGCATTTATCTAAATTTCCCGTAAAATTGAAACTTGGTAAAATGTTTAAAAATATACAAGAAGCTAGAAGACCCTGCAGTAAACTTTACAATAATGCTGTCAATTATAGTGGTAAATTTACTCTCTTCAACACACCGGTCGTTTAAAAATCACATTGCCCCTAACTGAGTTAATCCTAGTTTTTACTCTACCTAATTTACAAAATAAAACCCTGTAAATAAAATATTAACCCAGGGGTAAGTAGCAGTTTTGAAAAGACATTGAGCAGTGAAAAAGAGGACCCAAGAACACATTTGTGGCCCAAAAACATTTCCTTAATGAAGTTTTTGACTAGTGCTTTCTTTTTTTTTTTACCAAAATTTTAAATTTTATCTTTGAGGGTAAATAAAAACTTCCCAGGGTCAAGTATATTTGTTAAATTAATGCCCGGAAAGCCAAGCCCCTAACTCTGTATGATCTCTTTAATTTACTGTAAAAATTACCTATATTAGCATAAGCTTTTATTTTTTATTAGAAAAAGGGGAAAATTTATGAGAGTATTCTCACGGGGGAAGCGCTAAACCCCTTGGGTCATAAACAGTTGTGAAATACTGTCAAGGTTACAGTGGGGGAAATTGAAAAGTTCTATTACTATTACTTCTACTATCAGTGCTAAAATAAAGGGTATAAAATACCGACACAGTGAAAATAAAAACAAAACCCGTATAATGTGACCTTTTTTTGACAATTTTTCCCCCACACAGTGGACTTTATAAGCATTATAAGTCCCTTTGTGGGGAGAAGTTGTCAAAAAAGGGTCCCCTTTATTCGGCTTTTGTGTTTATTTTTTATGGGGGATTGTGATGATGATGTTGATGATGAGGGATGATGATGATGATGATGATGATGATATGATGATGATGATGATTTGATATGATGATGATGATGATGATGTTAAAATGATGATGTGTGTGTGTGTGCCTGTGCTGCTGTGCTTCTGCTGCTGTTTTGCTGTGCTGCTGCTGCTGCGGGCTGTGCTGCGGGCTGCTGCCTGCTGTGTGCTCCCTCTCCTCCTCCCTCCTCTCCCCCTTTAATTAAACTTTATTTTTAAAGGGGATTCAGTATAATTTAACAATTAAGGTGATGACTACTTATCTAATAAAAAGCCCGTGATACGCAAAGCATCGGGGCGCTTAAAACTAAATCGTAATTAGAGATATATTAAAGAAGGCTACGTATCTATTGCCTTTGATGAAGTTTTAGACACTGTGCAACTTTGGGGTATCTTTATTGTAAACGTTTTCGCTCCGGGGGCTTTACAATACAGCGTTAGGACTAATTTGAAGACAGTAGAACTTATACAAAGATGAGGTAATCAGCCCCTCACCCTTTGGGAGTTGGTGTGAAGAGCACCGTACCTTTGTATAGGGTTCTCTGTCTTCAAATTATGTCATGGGAATCTGTTTTGAAAAAACCCACTAGATGGGAAAACGTTTACAAAAAAGAAACCCAGATGTTGACATGTATCAAATCTTCCTCTTGTCGGTAGGTGAGGTGAAGTATGACCAGAGCTTTGGTAAGATTGGGAAGGAAGAAGGATGGATAAAGATAGAAATACGGGAAAGGGTTGGGAGGGTGGTGAGGGTGGGGGGGTTTTTTTAAAGGTAAGGGGCCCCTAATCACTTTGTCGCAATTTTAAAAAAGTGTTTTTGTTGTGTTATTCATGAATCATTAAATTCATTAGATAGGTATACCTCCTGCCCATCAGTTGCACATTTATACCAGCTGTATACCAGCATGCCTCTGAGTTGGTTTTGCAATTGCTTTTTTTCCGCAAGAGGCCGGTCGTAAGCCTGCTGCTGCAGATGGAAGTTAAGGGCATTCGATGGAGATTGGTTGCTAACCTGGGTTGGTTGGCTAACAGTTTTTGAGGTTTGGGGTCCTACCATAGGGGTTTTGCAGATGTTACAAGGTTAGTTGTAAGGTGTAGTTTCGTAGAAGTAGGTCTCCCAAAATTGGGGTGCATTTATCCTTGTTGTCGGATGTAGAATGGTTTTGGGGAGGTCACTCAGGATCCTTGGTCGTGGGAAGGTCTCCTTGTGAATGAATTATTATTATAATCAAAAAGAAGCGCTAAGCCACAAGGACTATACAGCCTTTTTGAATGAAGCGTTGAACTCTTTTATGGAGGGGCATTCTTTGGGTCCTGTGGGGAGGGTGTGATGTGTAGTCGGTGGTGTTCTTGTATTGTATCCCCTTTTTTGTACAACTTGTATTCTTTGGTTAGGCCTCATTTGATTTTGCTGCACAGTTTTGTCACCCATTACAGAAAGGATATAAAAGCACGGAAAAACGTACAAAGGAGGTACAAAGTTGATCCCCAAATATCAGAAATCTTCCCTATGTGATAGCTGAGGGGCCCCGAAATTTTCACTCTCTAAAAGGGGTGTTTTTGGGAAAAATTTTAAGGTATATAAATGGAAAACAAGAATAAATAAAGGAATGCAAATAATGTGCTAAAATATCTTGCCAAGACAAGACGCGCAGCAATGGCTTCGAGTTGGAAAAATTTGTTAGAAAGGATATAGGAAAGTAATGCTTGGTAAAAGGTTTTGGATATGAGTGGAAAAAAACTACCGAGTAGCATCAGTGAAGCTAAAAGTTGCGTTGTTTTAAAAAATAGGTTAGATTAGGTGTGGATGGGTGTGGGTTGGGTTACTAGCTTGTGTAAAGGGTTGATGCAGTGCCCTTCCTTTTAAGTGGATATGACTTGGGCCCGACTTTTCCTTAGCGTTAGGTGACCCGGGCCCGCCTCCCCATGTGCCAGTAGGCCTCTGCAGTGCTCCCTATGTTTTTGAATTGCATGATGCTAGTGGCTTTCGTTTGGGGGCCCAACAATTTTAATTAATGTAAAGACATGCTGCAGAAAATAAAATTTTTTTTATTTATTATTATTATTTTTATTATTTTTATTATTATTAATATTTTATAATCATATAGCCCACAGTCACTAAAAACAACATAGCCCTATTCCACATTATTTTATTATAACAAGGGGGAAAAACGTAAAACCGGGGATTTACAGCGCCTGGGGGGGGGGGTGTGGAAGGCATTTAGGCTTAATTCGGGGAACGGAGCACAAAATCCAATTCCCTAATCAAGAGCCCCTCACCAAAATCAAGGAACCCTTTCCTTGAGGGGCCCTTTCCAAAAAAGTAGCAGTTTAAGCAATTGCAAAGAATTACGACCCATAGCATCAACTTCCCCCACCCTAAAAATCTTTGAAAGGGTTTAAGAAGCAAGATCGCCACCCCTTAGAACCCTCAGTTGCACAAACCCCGGGCAGATGGGTTCAGAGCGGCGCTCCCGCCTATCCCAAACTACTGGATCACTTGACATAGTTTGGATGCTTTGGGGGAAAAAAAAAATGTAGTGTATATACACAGATTCCCAAAACCTTCGGAAAGTCGATCATGGGGTAACAAACTCAAAAAGGTGATAAAGGAATTTAAAAGGAAAAGTAGGGGTGGATCATAAAATTCCCAAAAAATGGAAACAAGAGTAGTAGTAAACATTATTTTATTTTAAATAAAAAAAAAGCGTAAGCCACAAGGGCATACAGCGTAGTAGTAACAGTAAGGTCAGTGATGGCTCAGTGAAAAACTCTGTTCCCCCAAAAATCAAAACTCGCTCCCCTCCGCTCTATGCTCATTTTGACACGACAGGTGTTTTAAACCACACCCGTGTCCCTTTTTGGATGACACCCGAATTTGCATGACAGTTTCATCCATGGAAAACACTGCAAATCTCCAAGCAGACATCAACCAATCTTTAAACGCGCTGCGGAAAACAATAAGAAGTTCAATGTAAATAAATTTCAATTACTCCGCTATGAAAAACTCGAGGAAATTAAAACTGTATCGGGGTATAAAACAAATTCCAACCACACAATAGAGCGAAAAATTAATGTGAAGGACCTGGGAGTGATAATGTCAGAGGATCTCACAACAATGTATCTACCATATCTGTTAGGAAAATGATAGGATGGATAACGAGAACCTTCAAAACTAG